AATTGAATCCACCGAAAAAAATTCTGTCCCTTAAATATTTAAACATTACCGGCGACAAACCATCTAACACCTAACTAATCTCAATTTTACCAGAGCGTGGGGGTAAACCCTTCCAGTTAAGCAACATAGCACAAGCTTTCGCATTCTTTTATTCCCATTAAAAAACCGAAACTTAAAAAAGTTCAATATAAATACTCACACACGCACACAAAAGACGAAAAGTAAAATAATTTATTTGTATATAATTAAAATAACTTCGCAAGTTTGTTTAATAATTACCTCAAATTATTACAAATAATATTGACTTGTTAGCATGAAAGAATTTTAAGCCGTGAAATACGGGCTCAAAAGTTAAATTACAAAATCAAGTGAAAAAAACCGTTTCCAGATATAAAGATAAATTTATTATTTCAAAAAATACTCTATAGCAGAACTTTGTCAAACAACACATGGATAAGCTTAGAATCAATTGAATGAATATAAAGTAAATAAAAGTAAAATATACGTTCAAAATTTTTTGAAGCTCTCACATTCCTCGTTTCGATCGACATGTTCTTTAAAAAAAAAAAATAAATTGTTTTTAAACTAATAGCTTATATAATAAGTATTGTCAAATATATATTTAAATATCATTAATGTTCAATCGGTTCGATGGTAAACTATTTTAAATTGTAAACCACTATATTAAAACTACTATCCTGGAACTAAATTGGAATAGAAGGACTTAATAAAAATTTAGGTGAAATATACGTAAGTGAATTGGGTAAATTTGGTAAACTAGTTATTTTAGTATTATAGCAACGGAGTTCTTTTAAGGAATTAGGTAAAATTGGTAGACTAGTTAACTGAGTCGTATAGCAATAGAGTTCCATTAAAGAATTAGGCAAAGTTGGCAAGCTAGTTAATGGAGTATTGCTACAGTTGAGCGTTGTTAAGAAGTTAGGCAAAGTTGGTAAGCTCGTTATCTGAATATTGTCGCAATTTAAATATGTTAAGGAGTTAGGTAAAGTCGGTAAACTAGCTATTTGAGTATTAGAGCAATAGAGTTTTGTTAAGACATTAGGTAAAGTTGGTAATCTAGTTATTGGAGTATTGTTACAGTTAAGCGTTGTTAAGGTTTTAGGTAAAGGTGGTAAGCTTGTTATTTTAGTACGTGAGCAATTGAGTTCTTTTAAAGAGTTAGGCATAATTGGTAAGCTAGTTATTAGGGTACTATAGCAACGGAGTTCTTTTAAGGAATTCGGCAAAGTTGGTAGGCTAGTGATTGGATTACGTGGGCAATTAAGAGTTATTAAAGAGTCGGGCAAAGTTGGTAAACTTGTTATTTGAACATTTTCGCAACGAATGGTTGTCAATTTTCGATATCTTTGCAATCCTTCCAAAGTCTTAAATATGTCTTCTTTATTATGCTTGGTAATTGTTAAATTTTCAGTAGTATCAAATTCTTGAGCCATTGTTCTTTCTTCTTGCTCTCTTTTCCTTTCTTTTACATCATTAGTCTCCATAATTTTTTCTTTTAACTCATTAATAGTTTTCTGCTTGGCCTGGATTTCTTCATCTCGTTCTCCGATAATTTCTCTTAAATCGCTAATGGTATTTTGATTAGTTTTGGCTGTTTTTTCTTGCGCATTAACCTTTTCTTTTAAATAATTTATAGTGGCCTGCTTGGCTTTAGCTTCTTCTTCTCGCTCTTTAATCTTTTGCTCCAAAACATTGATGGTTACTTGCTTAGCTTTGGTTAAATCTCCCCGTTTTCTAACCTCTTCTGTTAAGATGGTAATAGTTTTTTGCTTAGCGTTAATTTCTTCATCTCGTTCTCCGATCTTTTCTTTTAAATCGCTAATAATTTCTTGATTGGTTTTGGTTTCTATTTCTCGCTCTTTAATCTTTTCTCCTAAAGCATAAATGATTTTTGCTTTGGATTCAATAATTTCTTCTTGTTCTTTAATCTTTTCTTCAAAATTGCTAGTTGGTCCTTGCTTGGATTTGGCTTCTTCTTCTCGCTCTTTAATCTTTTCTTCTAAGGTATAAATAGTCATTGCTTTTGCGGTTACTTGTTCTTGCTCCCTAATCTTTTCTTTTAAATTGTTAATAGTATTTTTCTTAGCGTTAATTTCTTCGTCTCGTTCTCTAATCTTTTCTTTTAAACCGTTAATAGTTACTTGCATGGCTTTGGCTTCTTCTTCGTGCTCTTTAATCTTTTCTTCAAAAACATAAATAGTTTTTGTTTCTGCTTCGGTTACTTGTTCTTGCTCCCTAATCTTTTCTTCTAAATTACTAATAGTTACTTGCATGGCTTTGGCTTCTTCTTCGCGCTCTTTAATCTTTTCTTCTAAGGCAATAATAATTTTTGTATTTACTTCGGTTACTTGTTCTTGCTCCCTAATCTTTTCTTCTAAATTACTAACTGTTTCTTGCTTGGCTTCGGTTAATTCGTCTCGTTCTCTAATCAAGTTGTTAATTGTTATTTGCTTGGCGTTAATTTCTTCATCTCGTTCTCCGACCATTTCTTTTAAACCGCTAATAGTAACTTGCATGGTTTTGGCTTCTCCTTCGCGCTCTTTAATCTTTTCTTCTAAATTACTAATTTTTTCTTGCTTGGCTTCGGTTACTTCTTCGTGTTCTCTAATCTCTTCTTTTAAATTGTTAATAGTTTTTTGCTTAGCGTTAATTTCTTCATCTCGTTCTCCGATCTTTTCTTTTAAATCGTTAATAGTTACTTGCTTGGCTTTGGTTTCTCCTTCTCGTTCTTTAATCTTTTCTTCTAAAGCATAAATAGTTTTTGCTTTTGCTTCGGTTTCTTGTTCTTGTTCCCTAATCTTTTCTTCTAAATTACTAACTGTTTCTTGTTTGGCTTCGGTTAATTCGTCTCGTTCTCTAATCAAGTTGTTAATTGTTATTTGCTTGGCGTTAATTTCTTCATCTCGTTCACCGATCTTTTGTTTCAAAAAACTAATTATTTCTTTCTTAGCTTTGGCTTCTTTTTCTCGCTCTTTAACCTTTTCTTTCAAAGCATTGATAGTTTCTTGATGAGCTTTAGATTCTTTTTGCTCTTTAATGGTTTCTTCAAAAATTTTGATAGTCTCTTTGGTTTGTTCTTCTCGGACTTTAATCTTTTCTTCTAATATATTGATAGTTACTTGCTTGACTTTGGCTTCTTCTCCTTGTTTTCTTATTTTTTCTTCTAAATCAACGATCGTTTTTTGTTTGGCTTTAGCTTCTTCTTCATGCTCGTTAAACTTTCGTTCCAAATATTTGAATTGAGAATTTAAATTTGAAAATTCCTCTATTTTTGCTGTTAAATTCAAATTTTCTTGCCTTATGTTTTCAAATTTGGCTAAAATCTCGGTAATTTTCTGTCCTGCTAATAATTCTTTTAAATTATCTAAATCATTAAAATTAATACCTAATTCATCAAGTAAAAAGGAGATTAACAATTGATTTTCGTCGTCGGATTTCCTTTTACTTTGTTCTAATTCCTTGATTTTATTTTCCAAATCTTTGTAGGATTTTTTTGCGTTGAATTTAAAAACCATTTTACGATTGATCTTAATTTAGTTGTAAAATGTTTATGATCGGAAAGGATTATTCTACAAAAATTTTCTAAAATGCTTTTATTTATTAATTTCAGCCCTCGACTATCATTTCTTTTTTAGATTGAACATTCGAAATAACCATTTCCTCAATGTAATTACTTCCTTAGAAAAGCAGTAAATGGTCGTTCTTGTGTAACCTTTATATATTTTAAATTTCTTTATTTTTTTTTAGAATCTTGGAATTAAAATTTGTAAATTTCGTAATTTAAATATACCTAAAATGAATTGACATCAACCGGGTTTTATTTTCACAAACCGGTTTTAGCCACTTTTTTTAATTTGAGACCCGGATTTAAACCGAATTTAAATAAAACCGATTAAACCTTGTAATAAACCCGAAAAAAACCGAATTGCGATAAAATATAATATTAACAAAATATTTTTTTTTCTTTCATTTTTATTTATTTTTATAAAAAAAAAAATTAAGCTAATTGCATGCTTAAAATGAATGATAAAAGTTAATAAAATGAAACTTGATTCACCAAATCCGGAAATAATTGAGTGCTTTTTGCTGAAACATTTATAAATATTTGTGTCTGAAAACAATGTTTCGCTAGGTATTGAAGTTGCAGGATGGAATAGATATTTTTTTTTTTTTTTTTTGCAGGTTGAGATAAAATATAAAAGCCACTTTTAAAGGATCAATTTGCTGAAGTTTTAAATATTCGAATGAAAATCACAAATTCAAAATTTTAAGTTTCATTATATAAAAAATATTTTATTTTAAAAAAATTTAATCTATGATTGCATTATTTATTTTTGAATAAAATATCTAATGTATTGTTAAATTATATATTTAACCGGTAAACTTCCGGTTTCATTAAATTCGAATTTTCGCAATCAACCGGGTTTATTAAACCCAACCGGTTCCAACCTTAACAGGAGGATAAATTTTCAAAAAAAAAATACTGCTGCTTATGCGGAGTGCAACTGAAAATATCGTCTATAAAAAAAGTTATTAAATAAATAGCAACAAAAATTTCAAAACTTATATATCAATATTTTTTAAAAAAAAACATTGATAGCGCAGTATAGTCTAGTATTTTTTTTATTATTGACTAATAAATATCTAGAGTTATTTCGAATTTCTGTAATTGGTAAGAATGAATATATTCAAACCTTTTTAAATTATACTTAAATATTTCTAAAGTCGAAGAGCGAAATGAAAATGCGCGACATAAGTTCTACTACTTTAGGAAGAAATCTTGCCCACTAGAAATAAAACCATGGAAGTAATTAATGTCAAACCAAAAAGAGGTTACTAAAGATTCGTATCTGAAAGGAAAATGGTTGTCATCATTCACAGTCATGCACTTTTTTATAGTCAAAATGTATTTCCCACAGAAGTTCTTCCCACACAAGCTCTTGTTGCTGCTCATTCTAAATATCTTTTGCCTTTTTCTTTCATACGACGCTTGTTTCATATACAGGGGTCCACTTAACAGTTTTCTTTAATCTACTAAGTCAAATGATTTTTTGTTTGAACAAAGCAATGAAATGATTAGAAATTTCACATCAATAACTTTGGAACGATATGTACTTAATGTGCATAAAATGAACGTTTAGGTTATTTGAAGGAGACGCGACCTTCTTTTTATAAACACGCTTCAAAATTGCAGCCATGTTGAAATTTTTGTTGTAAAAAAAGGGGTGGAACTTTTTAGATCACCCGGGATGAATGAATAATAAAAAAAAAAAAAAAAATTGATATTTTTTTTTTGAAATTGGTACAGCAAGTATTCGAACTCAAGGCATGCTGCACGTTTCACACCTGTTACCAATACACCTCCAATATCGCAATAAAAATTTCACCCACGTGACCTTTGGTCGGCATTACGGCATTAAGAAATATCTGTGACAAATATTGGCGTGACAAATACCGAAAAATTTCTAAGGTTGAGGGATGTGACAATTTTACTATGATCACGTAGGGTGAATTTTATGGTGATACTAGGTAAGTTTAAAATACGCCACATCAGTCATGCGAGGCGCTGGTTAAGGAAGCCAATAATAAATTTTTTTATTTAGATTATTATAGTAATTTAAAAATTCACGACGATATTTCCCGTATGTACACACATTCAGTGGATATTCATTTTTTTTTTTTTTAATAGGGTTGTTGATATATTTATTGCGACCGTTTCCAGTGTAATTTTTCAGTCTACTAACAATAAAAGACACAAACCCTTATCATTCTTTATATTTAATTTTTTTTTAATACTTGATAATGATACCCGCATTTCCATGATACAGTAATTCTCCCCAAATGATTCCAGTTCGTATTTTGGACCGTGAATAATTATTACTGGAAATCATAAATGGTTAAACCTTATAAATGATTTATTCTTAATCGTCAATAAAATTGAACGACAATTACCTAAATCATTAATCAAATCATGAACTTAATAAATTATGGAATTATGATTTTATTTCATATGTGCTAACAAGACATTACTTTGGTTTTCCATGAGGAAATGAGAATAAATATATTAATAACCTTGTAATAATTTTCTTTACAAGGTGGAACTTCATTATATTATATTCATATTCAGAATATGTGAGTATGCACGTGATTTGTATATTGATATTTGAATCCAAATGTAATGTATAAGTATTATTGTATAATGTTATAATTTTATTTATTTATTAAGAAAATTTTTCATTAAAAAAAAAAAGTAAACTCGAAGGTTATTATTTACAAAATGTTTTTATGATTTCGAACTTTTAAGATGAAAGATGAAGATTTATAGTGTGAGATCTTGAAAAATAATTTCTTCCGAAATAATATTTATGATATAGACGAATCACTGTATTAATAAATGAGAATATAACGATTGTATACACATGCTGTAAGGAATATTTAACCTATAGAATTTAAACCGATTAAAAATTAGTATAATTAAGTAGAAATTATATAATAGATTGAACAAAATAATAAAATGTTATTTAATATACTAAATATAATTAAAAAATTCTAATAATTGTAAATTTATAATATCCTATCCTATTAGCCTGTTTCAATTTTATTACTTAAATAAATTATTTTATTAAATTTAAATTGAAAGTAAAAATATATGTATAATAAAATAAAATAATATTAAACCTTTTGGAAATATTCGTGTTATTTAACAAAAGATGAAAGAAAAAATTTATAATATCTTAAAAATGAATTTATAAATTTTTATCTAGTTTCTGAACTAATTGTCAAACGCTATATTATAAATTTAGAACTAAACATTAAAATATTTTTGCTTGTCAAATCTATTCTACTTTATGAGAAATACATTCTCTAATGATATTTAAAAGCCTCAGTATGCTCTTCTTAAATCGGAATAAAGTAAATAAAAAAGGAAATGGATCTGATCATCAACCATATAAATAGTTACAACAATTTTTTTTTTTTTTTGTTTTTGAAAAAAAATTCTTTTGAAATGTCTTCACAATTTTTTTCGAAATTAAGCCAAAATTATATTGAAATATTGGAAGATGATGAGTACTATGATATTACAATTGAAGTTGGAGAGGACCCAAACATAAAAATATTCCGTGCTCATATGAATATTTTGTGTTACCGTTCGCCATTTTTACGACGAGCCTTGATTAATAATAAAAAAAGTAATAATGATGTCTTGTCTCACATCAAATTACCGAATATCTTGCCAGAAATCTTTCAAATTATTTTAAAGTAAATTTATTTATTATTTTTTTTTTTCATTGATTTTATTTATTTTTAATTTTAACCGTAAATTTTTTATGTTACAGGTATATTTACGGTGGGATACTTTCAATGAATGAGCAGGACACCTCAGAAATTCTCAAAGTCTTGGTTGCTGCAGATTATCTATTGCTTCATGAATTAGTTGAATTTATACAAACATATTTGATTAAAAATAAAGCTAATTGGATGGAACAACATTTTGAGCTAGTTCATCGCTCAAGTTTTCAATCAAATCACCTATTAGAACTTCAAAAATTTTGCATGAATTTGATGGCCAAGTTTCCTGAAAAAATATTTAATTCACTTGATTTCACTTCACTTCCAGAGAAATCCTTGACTTCACTCATTAAGCGAGATGATTTACAGATGCAAGAAATTGAAGTTTGGAAACATGTACTAGATTGGGGTATCGCACAAAATCCTACACTCGTTTCAGATCCTGCAACTTGGTCTGATAATGATTTTAAAACAATGGAAAGTACTCTACAAAAT